AGATTTTCAGGACAAGCAGCAAGTTGCTGGGAGAAGAACAAAGGGGGGGGGATCAATTCTGCTTGCTCTGTCTGTGTGCTGAGGATGTCTCTGCTCAGAGTTCTTAAAAGGTGGGTTTGCTTGTAGCCAGGTAGAACGTGGGAAAATGGTGCCCCCCCCAGGCTATTTTTGGGCAGGAAACGCACAGGAACAGAGTTCCGGCTGGCTCCCAAGTTGGCCACGCCCAGCAGGAACTCATTAGCATAATAGGCCACACCCAACAGCAGAAACTCACTAGGATTGGCTACATTAGGGGTGTGTGGCCTAACATGCAAAGGAGTTCCTGCTACAAAAAAGCCCTGGGTTTTGACAACAAACAAGGTAAATAGAATAACACGCAAAAGGTGGGTGTGGCTGGATGACCACACTTCTGGTAACATGGGGGTGCAGCCTAATCTGCTAATGAGCTGTGCTGTCAGGGGTGTGGCCCAATATGCTAATGAGTTCCTGCTGTTGGGTGTGGCCTATTATGCTAATGAGTTCCTGCTGGGCTTTTTCTACAAAAAGAGCCCTGTACCCCCCAATTTATGAAGTAGGCATTGTATAAATGCAGATATGCAAGTTTCAGCAAGGCAGACAAACTTTTCTTGGAGAGCTTGACAAAGTCTTATAATTGAGTGGCCACGTGATTAATTGCTGTTCAAGTATTTATGTTATTGATATAACGGGAAGCTGAGTGCCTGGTTTCTGCCAGATCTTTCTGCAGTTAAGTTTTCAAGTGCAAGCCGTAGAAGAGTTTCTAACCTTAATTCATATTTTAGAAAGGTTTTTGGAAAAAAACTTGCTACCCGCTGTGTCTGTCCCCCCTTTCACTAAGTTTTATTCAACAGCTTAAGAAGTCCAACGTGAGCGACGTGGCACGTCACTTCCTGTAGCCCGGCGAGGCTTCTCCGCCGGGCAAGGTAAGAACACTTGGCAACTCTAAGTAGTACAAAGAGAGAGTGATAGCTGAGATGAATATTTCTTAGTCTTAAACTTCTCTTTTCATGAAGTCATGGATGTATTCCCCACATTCAAGCTGAATCTGCCAATTTAAAATAAGTAGTCAACTTTCTAGTGAAGGGATGAGAAGGAGGCCAAAGTGACTTTGTTAGTCAGGATTTATTTGTATGAGATATTCATACATACGACATAACTGAATTTAATGGTGGTAACTATAATAATGACTTGCTGGATTTGAGTCCAGTACCATGTTAAAGACAAACAAGATTTTCAGAGTAGGGGCTTTCAAGAGTCAAGGCTTCCTTTGTCAGGAACCATAATAATGACTTGGATGACCACAGAAGATTTTCCACACGTAGAAATGGGATATTTTCAGCAGTTACTGCAGGAGACCTCAGATTCCCTTCTGATGTTTTTCTCGTGGGTTCCTTGTCTACATTTGGGGGATAATTTTTTTTTGCAGAGGGGAGTCATGCCTTGCAGACAGAACTCCCGTCAATCTACAAAACTCCCAGTGGATAGATGCCAATAATTTTATTAGTTTTTCTGCACTTTAGAGAAGAACGGTTCTGCTGGAGAAGCTAAATAGATGGCTACTGACTGCTTGGAACACTTTTCTCTCTCTCTAGATTTTTAAAACTGTGATTGGAGATATGGAGTCCTGTGGTGGAGAATGTCATAGGTTGGATCTAGCAATTACCCCCCCCCCCACCACCACCAGTGGAAGGTTGTATGTGTGTGAAATGGCATCATCATTTTTTTCTTTTCATGGCAATGCCCCAGTTGTGCCTGAGTGTCTTCTGTATCTCGAGGGCTGAATTTTAGGGAGTACAGTAGGAGGAGGCAGGAAAGTTAGATTCTGCTGATTGAATTACATTTAATTAGTAGGGCGGGGTGGGGAACCATATAGTTCCAATCCATATCTTGTCTCTGCAATAAGATCCTCTATTTTTAATAAGCCCTTTATACCATTTAGTGGTAACAAGCAATGTTCCCTCTAAGCTCCACAGTGTTGTGAGCAGAAAGTCTACCTCATGAGCGAAAAAAGCTAGTAGCATTAAAGTTGTGATCGAGTCTACATTTGACTATCACGTAAATTAGTTTCTTAGAAGATTATTTCCATAAACTTATAAAAATCTCATAATGAATTCTTTTAAACTATATTTAAACTATATTTTAAGAATAATTTAAACATTATAAGAGAAAACAGAATCAAGTCAGATGTCATTACAGAAAATGTTTTCCTCTATAGGAGTAGACCTGGCCTCTGGAGAACAGGTCTACCCACCCCTTTCCACTATATTGGTAGACCTGGCCTCTGGAGAACAGGTCTACCCACTCCTTTCCACCATATTGGTAGACCTGGCCTCCGGAGAACAGGTTTGCCCACCCCAGTCCACTATATTGGTGGACCTGGCCTCAGACCATCGTCCTGTACTGAGCCTTAGAAAACATACTAGCATTCGGGGGGAGGGACTCTTGCTGTCTACTTTTTTTTTTTAGTGAAATATGACAAATTTACAGGTCAAGTATAACAGAGGAGAAACAATCACTGTCAGAATGTTGCATAACGTACCAAACAGGAAGTTGCTTAAATGTTATCAACCTGCCCAAACTACTTATTTATTCAAATATTTATATCCCACTTTTACTGTGACTCAAGGCATCTTACAAATCATACTAAAAATTATAATAAGGGTGTGCAAACAAAAAAAAAATGTTTTTTTTCCTGCTCCATTATAGCCTACGGAGCGGCTTACAATCACCTTCCCTTCCTCTCCTCACAACAGGCACCTTGTGAGGTAGGCGGGCCTGGGAGAGTTCTGTGAGAGAACTGTGACTGACCCAATCTCCTCCTCCTCCTTCTTCCCCCACCCCCAAAGATTTCAGACTGTTCTGTAAACCTGGAGCTTTTTCAGGTTTGTAGATAGATCAGCCTTGTCTATTTTCATGGCTGCATTCTCCGGATGCAAATATCCATAAACGGGGGGGATTAGGTATGATAAGCACTCGTGCTCTCTCTCTCTGAATGTATGCGTGTGTGTGTAATATAGTTTGAATTTTAAATCTACATATGAACCTGTAGAGTTTCTGGAAATGATTTCTTTAAGTTGGATTTTTAAATTTGTCAGAACAAATTCCTCTAAGTCAAAGTGGAAATTTGCCCCCAGTCCACCCCAGTGGTTCATCTGATGATAGATGATAGATATTCTCCATAATCATTGAAATGAAGGGTGGAAAGCTTGGGAAGAAGGTCCATATTTCTCTTGGAAAGCACAAAAGTGGCCTAAATGGTAGAAGACTGCTTATTTAGCCATGAGCAGTGTTCCCTCTAAGCTGAGTTAGTGTGAGCTAGCTCACAGTTTTTTAGACTCTGGCTCACGCATTTTTGTCTTCACTCAGGAAGGATGGCTCCAGAGCAAACTAATTGATGCAGTAGCCAAATCACTTGCTCACATCTTTAATGCCAGTTGCTCACAAAGTAGGATTTTTACTCACAAGACTACACAGCTTAGAGGGAACATTGGCCATGAGTATCAATGTGAGGGTACACGGTCTGCATTATTACATTAATTTGGAGGACATGTAAGGGCTTCTTTTTTTTTTTCTTGCCCTAGAATAAGTCAAAACAGCCTTCAAATGATAAAATGGGCGCAATGTATTGGACGAAACATAGATTTGGATGAATGGGAGAAATTTTGGTCCAGGAATATGTTAGAACAAGTAACTTTAAAGAAAATATAGTTATTAAGATGTTTTATATGTGGCATATCACTCCGGAAAAACTTAATAAATTTAACAAAAATATTCCCAAAAATTGTTGGAAGTGCAAGCAAAATACTGGTATGTTTTATCACATATGGTGGCTCTGTAAAAAAGTGAAGAAATACTGGAATGTTATAAAAAGAGTCCTGGAAGAGATTTTAAGAATAGATTTACAACTGAAACCAGATTTTTTTTGTTAAATATAATACCTGAGAAACTCAAGAAATGTGAAATTTATATAATTATGCATATTTTAGTTGCGGCCAGAATTCTATTTGCGAAATACTGGGAAAATGAAAATATACCAACGAAAGATGAATTTGTATGTAAATTAATGGAAGTTGCCGAATTAGAAAAATTAACGTTTACCATTCAAGACAAAAGTGAGAAAGAGTACAATAAATACTGGTTTAAAGTGGACAAATGGCTACAAAATACAAAAGGGGACAAATAAGGTGAATATATCAGGATTGGAAGTAGAATGCTGGAAGATTTTCTGTAAACAATTTGTTGAAATGTATATGTATTTGTTTCATTTTTTCAAAATTTGAAAATAAACAGTGGGGGGGGGGGGAACAGGCTGGGATCCAGAGCCACATAACTAGCTCTAAAGTAGCTTTGGGCTTGTGTTTTGTTTTTGTTTTTTGAACCACAGCCCATCCATATCAGGAGACAAAACCACTGTTGAAGATGAGTTGGTTTCCAAAAACAGCCTGTGGCAAGGAAAACAGTCTCCCATTACATGAAAAAAAAAAGTCTGATCTCACCGATGTGCCCAAATCATTGGAAATTACTGTAATGACTGTTATCGTAGTAGAAGACTGAAAGGACAGGCTAAGCAGTTCATGGCTATTGTTTTTTCCCTTCTTGGGTGATCCTACATGCTAGGTAAAACGTTTCTTAGTCTCTTAAACTGCTGAGGTGTGCCTTGATATTGATGATTATTCAATACGGCTTCAAGAGGGAATTAGATAAGCATATGGAGCAGAGGTCCATCACTGGCTATTAGCCACAAGGTATAGATAGGGGCTCTGGGGCAAGTGATTCTCTGTCATCTTGGTGCTTGGGGGGGTCAACAGTGGGAGGGCTTCTAATGTCCTGGCCCCACTGGTGGACCTCCTGATGGCACCTGGTATTTCTGGCCACTGTGTGACACAGAGTGTTGGACGGGATGGGCCTTTGGCCTGATCCAACATTGGCATCTCTTATGTTCTTATGTTCTTATTATTGTGGCTTTTTTCTCTTCTTCCCAGCGGCTGCTGCTGAAAGTTCTCTCAGGTTATTGTCTGACGTAGCCCAAGCGGTGAAAGGCCGAGGTACGATATCATGGATAGATTGCAGGTATGTGGTGCAGCCCTTCCCTTTCCCACGTCCGAAACTGTGATGTCTGAACAAAAAAGTTTTGTCACTGTTGTGCGTCATAGATGAACAGAAGGAGAGGGGAAAAGAGGGGGAAATGATGTACTTCTGTGTTCTCTGTGGTGACCTGTGTCATTTTTTAAATGCAGTGTTAGCACGTTTAAGGAAGTGGTATTAGCATACTGAATACCACTGATTTCTCTGCCCACGTGTATTAACAGTAATATCTCATGTAGTGCTTGGCAAAAACCACTTGCTAGTAGTTGTTGCAACAGTGTGTAGCTGCCAGTTGCTTCCTAGGCTGGGGGCGATTCCGCATCTGGCACTCACGCCACATTTTCTCAACACTGAGGAAAAGGTGCCGCTCAAAACCACATTCAGATACCCCAAGGCAGTGCTGTACTGACTGTACTCACCCCTGAACGGCCATAAATCTATGCAAAAGGTACCAAAAAACACTGCGGCATGCAGTGTAAAGGGTACCATAAAATCTGATGATCAAAGAAAGTTAAAGCAGCATGCTGTTCTGTTCCAAGGTGGGTTTGGTAAAACAATGGAGGAAAAAGCCAGTGCAGAATCGCCCTCTGTTGAAACAATATGTTGGACCCTACTACTTCCTTGCATGAGGTTTCTTCCAAGGGAGAAATACTTCTTCAAACAGAGAGTTTTCCCCCTCCAATAGAGACTTTTTTCTGATGAAGAAGTTTTTCTCTATCAAAGACAATTGAAGGGAGTGGTATGACTCTCAGGGGTCATTTCCTGCGGGAGCGCACAGGAGCCCACGGGGTGGCACATGCACCAAGCCTCGCCCCCCGCAGACTTCAGTCAGGCCACAAGGATCAAGAAGCAGCCAGGTAAGTTGCAGAGCCCCCCCCCGGCCCGCCTTCAGGTACAAGCTCTCCCTCCTCTGTGAGACCAGATCTGTGTGTTCCCCCCCCCCATAGCTAGCGATCCAAAACAGTCCAGTGGCACCTTTAAGACCAAGTTTTATTCAGGTACAAGCTCTCCCTCCTCTGTGAGGACAGATTTGCACCCCCCCCCCCAATAGCTAGCAATCCAAAACAGTTCCGGTGATGTCAGGGGTGTGTGGCATATGCAAATAAGTTATGCTAATAAGTTATGCTAATGAGCTCCTGCACCTCTTTTTCTACGAAATGACCTCTGGGTGTGATCCAACAGTATTTCCCCCCCTCAGTTACATGTGGAGAGGGGGGGAAAGTGGATCTCAGGCTTGTGTGCTTCTTCCCTCAATAGAGAGGAAAATAACTGATGTGGAGCATAAAAATTATATTTATCTCAACGCAGGATCTCTGGAAGATATTCCAGTTTCTGGGTTTAAATTGCTCCCTATTGGAAAGGTTTGCATGATGGACAACCTCTCTCTATACATTTCAAGTGGAGAAATATCATTTGAACTAGTCCTAGAATCATAGAATGTTAGAGTTGGAAGGGACCTTGCAGGTCATCTAGTCCAACCCCCTGCACCCTGCAGAAGCAGAGCCGAGAGATAGCCCTACAACATACCTGAAAGATGGTCGTCCAGCCTCAGCTTGAAAACGTCCAGTGAAGGAGCATCCACCACCTCCCGGGGCAGTCTGTTCCACTGCTCAACCACTCTTATAGTTAGGATGTTTCTCCTAATATTTACCCGGTAACGACTCCCTTGTAATTTCCACCCATTAGATCTAGTCTTGCAATCCGGAGCAAGAGAGAATCGATCTGCTCCATCTTCTACATGACAGCCCTTCAAATATTTGAAGACTGCAGTCATGTCCCCTCTAAGCCTTCTCTTTCCCAGGCTAAACATGCCCAACTCTTTCAGCCTTTCCTCATAAGACTTGGATTCCAACCCTCTCACCATTCTGGTTGCCCTCCTCTGGACTAATTGCCCTAATGGTATCACTGAATAAGTACCACTGTGAGAATCTAGCTGGTAGTAAGGCACTGAGCAGTCCATTTCCTGTTCTTCCAGTCTTTATTCTTCAGGTAATGAGATCAATCAATTCTTATATCATTCTCCTTTCTGACTGCCTTCCAAAAGTCTGACACTAAAAACAAACTTTCTAGTGAATTATATGGTAGGGATTTATTTTAAAACCTCCTTTAGCTAATACCTTAATACAATTTATAATGTACTTGGCATCTCTAGTGCCTTTAATCAAGGCATTGCAGAGTGTTTTACAAAAATTAATGATTTTTGCTACATGCTACCTCTGAATTGCAGATAATTACTCTTGAAGAAGCTAAATGGCTAGGGTTAAGGGCTAGGTTAAATGGCTAGGTTTGATCTACAGGTAGATTGAGAATAGCCCTACTGACTTGAATTCTTGTGTTGTCTCCATTGTTTTTTAAACTGTGATAGTAACCTTTACATCTAGAGTGCTTCCCGGGCCTAGAGGAACTTCTTTGTACATAGGTAAGCAGTGATTTGTATCCAGCCTCAAATTCCAAAAACTTAAGGGCATTTAAATATTCTTAGGAGGGACCAGCAGTTTCTGCCAATTAAAGACTCCTAATGCAGACCTGAGACCTCATGGTGTTTTGAGAACCCACTGGCCTCTGGAACAAAATTTCAGGGAGATGGGCTGCAGGAAATTGCTGCCCCGTCTTAAGAAAGCTTAAATGTCCTTAAGTCTTTTGAATGTGTGGTTGGGAACAAGCCATTGTACATTTTGGTTCTATACTGACTGCTTTGGGTACAAGCTGGATTGTGTTCATTCAAACCGTGTGAATTCTTTCCCTGTCTCAGCTTTTTAGAATGACAGTTGCCATCCCGTAATCCTCCAGAGGCACTGTGGGAAGGTTGGGCTGGGTTCTAGTCCTGTCCTGTTCATTCGCACATAATTAAACAGTGGGACTGACAAAACAAATAGGTCCCTCCTCTTTAACCGGCTTGGATCCAGTGGAAAGTTCATGGGATAGGGGACTACCAGGGACAATGTTTTGGAGTGCCTTTTTGGGTGCTGAGGAAGTTGGGGAAGCAAGAAAGTTGTGTTCCTTCTGTCCATGAAAGTGCTCCATTGGATCCAACCCAAAGTGTGTTAGGCAGGGGTCATGTCCTGCAGGAGCGCACAGGAGCGGAGCTCCGGCAGTAAAGAGCCCAGGGGGCGGGCACATGCAACAAGCCCCGCCCCCTGCTCCTAGCACCCTGGGCCACAAGGAGCAAGAAGCAGCCAAGTAAGTTGCAGAGCCCCCTCATAGGTAGCAATCCAAAACAGTCCAGTGGCAGCTTTAAGACCAAGTTTTATTCAGGTACAAGCTCTCCCTCCTCTGTGAGGGCAGATCTGCGTGTGTCTCCCCCTCCCCCATAGCTAGCAATCCAGAACAGTCCAGTGGAGCCTGAGCGGTGGGTGTTGCCTTCTGACACACTTCCGGTGATGTCAGGGGGTGTGGCATATGCATTTTCTACAAAATGACCCCTGGGTTAGGCATTTGTGAAACTGACACCATCTTAGCCAACATGCTTTAAATGTCTTCTCAAAACTGCCTGTTTTGACACAGGCCTTCCTCCCAGCCTCACTTATTCATTATGTGCCAATCAGAGGTCATTTCGGGGGGGGGGACAGGGGGGGGAACGACGTCCGCCGGGGTGAGGTGCGGGGGGCGGGGCACATGACAAAGCCCCGCCCCCTGCTTCCAGCCGCCCCGCTTCCGGCCCTCATTCAGCCAGGAGGAGGCAGGAGAAGAGGGAGGGTAAGTTGCTTCCTCCCTGCCTCTCCCCACCCCTGCTTGCCTGGGGCCAGGGAGGGCCTTTGCAGGGCTCTTCCTTGCACTCCCGCTGGCCTTGCAGGTCCACCGCCGGGCCCCTCATTGGGGGCGGGGTGTGTGGCCTTATGACACATTTCTGGTGATGTCAGGAGGTGTGGCCTTATGACACACTTCCGGTGATGCTAATGAGTTCCCCTAGCTCTTTTTCTACGAAACGACCCCTGGTGCCAATGTATATTAAGCCAGCATCACTGGTTCCTTCCCTATATCTTTTTTCTTGTTGATATTAGGTTTGAGCCCCCTTGGCAGGGGCTGCACTACTTACTTCTCTGTTTGTTATAGCATCTGACACGGTGGCCCCACTAACTAAAATGTCACTGGATGGCCTTGAGCAAGTTACTCTCTTATTCCCATATGTAACTTGGCCATCAAACCTACAAAGGAGTTGGAGGTAAATCACACATGTTTCCTGAAGGTAGAAACATGTATTTAAGTCTGCACTTTCTCTGGCTGCCTTGGATTGCAGCATCATAGCAGAAACAGCTAAATCTGCTAAAAGCATGAAATGGTTTTTAAATGGGAAGCAGGGTCTGAATGGTAATCTGGGGGATTCTGCTCGAAGCGTCAAATGTTTGAGGGCTTGAATCAGGTTTTTTGGCTGGAGGGCTACGCCTCCGGGGTTGTTTCCCAGAATGTTCTTGGATGAAAAGTTGCATGTTCGTCAACAGCATGGGGACTGCTTGCTTTATTTATTTATTTTGTTGGTTTTGTGTTTGGGGGAAAAAATGTTCCAAGCAGAGAAGGAAAATCTTTTCTTTTTGTTCGCGCTTCTCCAGGCCAGCTGCAAAGTGCAGGAGAGTCTCGGAGTGTCTTTTGTCACTGGCCCCAGAGGGGTCAGGGTTTTATAGGAGTTCTGAAGCGGTCACCTTCCCAGAACTGCATGAGACTAGATCTATCTATTGCAAATACGCCGTGTGGCTTTTTTTGTGGATCTCAAAGCTGAAGCAGCAAATTACACAGAAGTGGGGGTGTTTACTGTGGAGGCTCCATTTGTTTGACAAATATTGACAAAGAGTGGTTTTGCTTGGCAGCTATATTCTAGCAGAGAGCTCTTTTGGCTTTACTTCTGATATCCCACTCTACAAGCCTTTTCTTTTTTTTTGAAGCAAAACTTTAGAACGTGTGCGTTGGCAGGGCTGGCAGGCCTGCTGTGCTGTGGCTGCTGCCTTCTGCTCTCCCTACCGCAACGACAGCTCTGCCTTTTATGAAATTGG